GTCTTCCTGGCATTATTCTGGCAGTTCTGGTCCCAAAAAGGACCAGGAAGGATACAGTGAAATTGAAAAAGATTGCAGATCGACAATAACCACATTTCTCCAGACTGTCACACAAGTTTCACCCTGAGGAGTCCTTGCGAAGGTTCAGGCTATTCCTTATTTTCTCTGAAGCAATTGGCCTGTTTTGTTTAGTCTTGACCTATGTCCTAACACAAATATAAAAATGAGTTGGCTTTTGTGCCTTTCCAATGTGGTAACCACTGACATATTAGAGCCTCAGAATTCAGGACCCAATATGGCAAAGAATATCCTAGCTAGTCAGACCATGGGAAAGGCAGCTCCAGGTAAATTCAACCTATGGTTTGTAAGGTCCAGGGAGACATGGATTTTTGTCACAGCATCTTTCTCTGTGCTGATCCTACAGGGTAAGTGGGCTGGGTGAGGAAAAGTAGGGGGATGCTGGCCAGGCTTTTGTGTATCTTCCCTGTATTGTTTTCCTTTTATGAAGCGATAGTGTGGTTTCAATCACTTTTATCTTTCTTCTTTCACAGAAACCAACAAGGAGGAAGAGGAGGTGGTGGTGGCTTTTCTTATGGAGGAATAAGAGGAGGGAGCATAGGAGGAGGTGGTAGCATTGGAGGGGGGACCATTGGAGGGACCTGCATTGGAGGAGGCATAGGAGGAGGTGGCATTGGAGGGGGCAGCATTGGAGGAGGCATAGGAGGGGGCAGCATCGGAGGGTGTGGAATAGGAGGAGGTGGTGGTAGTGGAGGCAGTGGCTCCTGTGTTATTTCAGGGGGAGGAATAGGAGGAGGTGGTGGAGGAGGAGTTAGAATTTCAGGAGGTGGTGGTGGTGGATTGTCCCACTCCTACTCTTCATCTTCCCATGGCATCTCCTCGTCTTCTCAATCCCAGTCTTGCAAGAGCGGTGGAGAAAGTCATGGTAAGGGTTATTATATTGTTCAATTGTTTCCTTTGTCCCTTTTTGATTAAATTTGGCCATGTGCCAATGAACTCATTGGGCTGAGAGAATCACTGGCAAGGGACTCTTCACATGTCTATTTTAGCCCTTTCTTCATCAATAGGAATGAGAGACTGGTAGGAAAACCTTGAGATCATTTGGGTTACAGTATGATTTATAGACAGAAGATTCACTCTTAATTCCAAATATAATCAGACTCTGCCATTAACTGGGTATCCTGGAAACCCATCTGGCGGAAGTTAAGTCTAAACATGGTCTTTGTAACAATGGTCATTTGGGATCTTTAGGACATGGAATGGAGGTTTCTACAGCTGAAATAGGGGGTGTATTCAATTTGGGAGTGCTCTTTGACTCCCAGTTGTTCCTGATGCCACTGCTAGCCAAGACGTAGAGTATGAAAAATGGACCTCGGATTAAAGATGGATGGGGGAGGGGGCTTGTTTGAGACAAAATGGAGGGAGAAAAAATGAAAGGTAAGACGAAAAAAATAGACAAATGCAGGCAGAGGGCAGGGAGAGCGGAAGCCTGGGGAGAAGAAAAGTGAGGATAAGGCAAAATCTTTTGAAGATGCTTCAATGCATGGTGGATTCACAGGTTGCATTCTTTTGTCAATGTGGTTTTATTGCATTGCTAAACTAATGAATGGTGCCTTCCATCTCTCAACAGGGTATGGAAGAAAATCCTAAATAGAGATACCAATGATCCTCAAGCTCAGTATTGTTAAAGAGAGAAAGTTAAAGCGTGTTGTCTACATTCTCTGCATGCCTGAACAAAGGACAAGGAGAAAAGCTCCTAACAGTTACTTAGCACTGCTACTGCAATCTGTCCCAAGGGGCCCATCACAGCTGTTGAGATGGGCCACCTTCCTGCCTGTCACACTCTATGCCCTTTCCATCTGCAATGCTCTATGGGTTCAATCATTGATATTTGAGTTAAGCTGTACCATGCAAAATAATCTACCTTTTGGTGAAAAAGTTCTCTAATAAAACTTTATTTCTGTCTAATGCAAACAGGAACCTGTGTTTGAGAAGTATTTTTTTAATGCTTTTTTGTGGGCATACAGTTCAGCTGTAAATACCAAGCCACATTCCCCCATAACATGTATTGGGATGGGTGTGTTTTTTACATAAAGAAGACCTTTCAGATTCAGGAATCATGTCACTCCATTATGACTAGATAAATCTGGGGACTAATTAATGTAGCAGCATTAAAATTGTACACAGAGGAAGGGATAGGAAGGGTTGCACTGCAGAGGGACAGTGGGAAGAGACAGAGAGTTTATCCCCATAGGAACACCATTTGCCCTGAGGGTGAGTGAAGCTGCTCTGGAGGCAGCCCTCCTTGAAGTGGGAGGAGTAATGTAAGCCCAGCAGGGGTTTGAATGAGCGGGATGTTAGCAGACGCCGAGGAAGAGTTGTGGCCTGGGATTGGCTGAGAAGCCCCTGTGCAGGCAGGGCCCAGGGAGAGGCTGCATTTGCCAGGTGGTGTGAAGCTGTGCTGGGCAGGGGAACTGGTGCTGCCTGCAGCCCAGACACTGCTCCCTGCTGTGCCAGGGGACAGGGGTCTGGGCAGGAATCATCTCCCTTGCAAGGACCACAGGGGAGGAGCAACCGCCTGCTGCACTGAGACCCCTGGAGCTCCTGCGACGGCTGCCAGCAGCAGGGACCTCCCATGGCTCTGGGTCAGGGTCACAGAAGCAGCCCTGCTCCCTAAGAAACCAAGCAAGGGGCAAGGTACACAGGGTCATCATAGTTACTAGGGCTGTGCAAAACAGCACTGTTTCCTTTCAACTTCCGTTCCAACATTTCGATAGAACAGTGTTTTGTTTTGAATTTTGTTTCATTTTGAAGTGCTGTTCCATTTTGTTTCCTCGAAATTGTTTCACTGTTTCAACACTGTTTTGACGTTTTGCCCATAGGCTATAATGGGGAAGCATGAAACAGCCTATAACTTTTTCATTTCTTCCCTGATTTGGATGAAACGTGCAGAGATGGTATCCCTTTCTGACACCATGAAGCCTACCATGTTTCAAGGAGATAGATGCAGGAGTTTCTGGGAAACAGCACCTCAAAATTCTTGAAAGCAAAACTTGTGTCGTGTGTGTGTTAAGGTGCAGCGGGGTGAATACTGCAGGCATTGTAGCCCCTGTTGAGGTCATGAAGCCTGCCAGCTTTCAAGGAGATAGGCACAGGGGTTTGTGGGAAACTGCACCTCAAACTGTTCAGAGCAAAACTTGTGTCACTTGTAAGCGTGAAGGCACAGAGAAAGTTCAGATCTAACAATGCTTTTTATGCTGTTTTTCCATCCCTCCCCTAGAGCACTGGGATTGGAAGGGACCTCAGGGAAGGATCACAGTCACTGGCCAGCTATACATGTCACTATCAAAGCAGTCCTTCCCCGCTCTCCCCCCTCCCTCTCTTTAGTTTCCCTTTAGCTGCAAGCCAGCCCAGCTTCGAAACTTGAAAGGTTTCAAAACTTTTGAAATGTTTTGACTGCCCTTGTTTCTTTTCAAGGCTGTTTCAAAGCCTTTTGTTTCGATTTCACTCTTTCAAGCTTGAAACAGGTCAAAACAGCTTTGAAACGAAACAGCCGGCAAAATTTCACACAGCCCCAATAGTTACCCTGGAGCATACAAGTTATTGACTAAATGTTTAAAGAAGTTCTTCTTGGTTTTTCAGTTGGAGTATAAATTTATTTATTTATTGTGCTTTCTTTGGCAGCATATAAAGTAAAATGGGTGACTTATTTATTGTGGGTTATTTGTGTGCCTTCCTGTGGTGTAAGGTGTATCAGACAAACATTAACCCTTAAGCCACAGGCATTTATCAGCCAGACTATTGGCCCCATCGGGCCAAAATCTGATACAGACTGTTGTCTTTATATCGGTACAGATCCAATATTGGACTTATGTATTGCAGGCCTGTTTGAAGGAGCTAGTATTCAGTTTCGATTCGGATTTGTCTGATTCAGGGCACTGTGATTCGATTCGCTGATTTGAATCACTATCCTAAATTGATTCAGTTGAATCTGATTGGGAGAGTTGGCTGCTGCTGAATCAGATGAATCTCCAAATCACACAGGTGCCATCCACCGCCCACTTTACCAGCCCTGCCTGGCCTCAGCTCCTGACTCTTTGCAAAAAAAAGTCCCCACTCACTGGCTGCTGCCAGGTGGGGGATGTGGGGGGCAGTAGGGATCGCACCCCCGCCTAGCAGCAGCTGGTGAATGGGGGCTTTTTTTTAAACAACCGGGAGCTGCGGGAAGCAGGGCAGCCACAGAGGGTCTGGGAGAGTGGGCGGGGGTTGGGGGTGCTCATGGGGGCTGTGGGAGCAGGCAAGGAGTGGGCCTTGGCAGGGGTCCCCCATTGTCCACTTCCCCCTCTTCCAGCCTCCCCTCCCTTGCCCCGTGCTTACCAGCATGGAGTCTGGGTCCAGCTCCCTGCTGCAGCCAGCAGGGACTGAACCAATGATCAAAGCTCTCCAAATCTTTTCTGAGAGAAGTTCGAATTGATTTGGACCTTTTAATTGGTCTCCTGATTCGATTCAGATTTGGAGATTTGGTCACTGAATTGGTCCAAATCTCCTCCAGATTGAATCAGCACCCGAAGCTTCACACACCCCTAATGCAACAGTGCACTTCTAACAGCAGGGCAGGGGGCTGCAGCCTTGCTGAACTGGCACTGGGAAGGTGCTGCCCCTGTGGAAGGGGAAAGTGGGAAGGGGAAAAAGGAAGAGTATTCAAAGCTCCACCCTGGTGGCAGCAGGCTTGTGCCTGGGCAGGGCTGGCTAAGTACAGGGGCAACAGAGAGCAGCTGCCACCTCTCCTGGTGTTCCCAGAGCTCTGGGTGTGCCACTGACCTCCTCTTTTTGTTCTTGCCCACCTGGCTCTTTCCTGATAAATGAAAAGAATTATTTGTGTGTGACGGGCTAGCTGGCAGTGACCTAGCCCAGGGGTTTTGAAAGGGTAAAAGATGATTGGAGGACTTGGGATTCCTTTTCCTCACCAATCTGGTATTGATTTGGCCCAGGGGTTTTGAAAGGTTAAAAGATGATTTGAGATTGGGATTTCCTTTCCTCACCAATCAGGCCCCAGAGACACCATCCATGTCCCCTGATCGGCCCCTTGGGTCACCTGGAGGGGAATAAAAGGGGCAGCGCAGCTGACTCAGGAGAGACCAGCAAAGGACCACAAGGAAGGAGTTTCAAAGAGCTACGGGACCAGTTGCCCCAGAAGCACCTGAAGGAGTGAGACCTGCATGCAGCAGTTGGGCCCTCAGCAGCACGGCGTGTGGCTGGCAGGAGAGGCTCTCTGCTTGCCTCCAGGATCCCCTACAAGAGGCTGTGGCCAGCAGGAGAGGCTCCCTAGCTCCAGCAGTGACCTGAGAGGTTCCCAGCTCTGCTTCCAACTCCTCCAATAAGAGGCCAGGAAACTTGATTTGAGACAGGGGCTCTGGGAAGGTCAAGACCCCTAGCAGCCTGGAGCACCACCAGCACTTGTGTCTGTGTGGTAGAGTTTCTGCCTACCCTGTGGGAGATCAGAGTTCAAGACTCAGCTGGGATAATGTAGGATGAGTGAAGTAACAGGGAGAAGTTCTTATTGCAGTGGGAAGGGGTCATTGTGTTTTTCCCTGTTCCCCTCCTCCTTCCAGGTACCTAGGCCCTATATTCCTTGTTATTTGATGTTTTATATTTTGCGCCTTTTATATTTTGCCAACCAGTATTGTTTGTTGTGCTGTTTGTGTTTTATATTTTGATAACCCTGTCTTTTGTCAACCGGATGAATATGTCTATGATTTTAAGTGTCTAACCTTTATTGAATCCTGCCCCCTCGGGGCATTGTAGTGTCCCCTATACCCCCTAGTCTATACTGGTTATGTTCCCAATAATGTTCTCTCATTAAAAGATATTTGGTTAAGTCCCCATTAGTGATCTGGCTCTGCTCTATAGGGGGAGGAGGGTCTCTACACCTCCCACAGCGCTTGTACACCTGCTCTGATCCCTTCAGTTGGAGAGGGGGTACCTCTTGGAGTACTGCCTGGGTTACATATGAAACAGGTATGATGTATTAATTTATGGATGTTTATTTTTCATAATTTGACATAATTTTATGAAGCGGTTTACAGTTTACTGTCATTACTAAATCATCTTACACCCTTCTAACCCTGTCTGATTTCACATTTTTCATGATTCAAATGTCATCATTTTTCTGGCTAGACTCCTTACAGTTCCATTCCAGTTGTTTTTTACTGACTGTATCTTAGCTGGAGTAGGCACAGTCTGAGCAGAGAATGAGGAGCTACACCTTAGTTCTCTTGACCACACCCAGCGTTGCTATTACTGAACGCCCACCTCCCTCAGAGTTCTCACAAGCGTTTGATCGCATGGTTACTGCAACAATTAGGAGCAACAGAGTGGTAGGGGACAAGGAGCGTGCAGGTGGTGGGGCAGGCCGTGAGAGGCAGAGTTAGTCCCCTGCTGCCTGATCCTACCACTTGCTCCCTACATTGTGCCTGCCTCCTCTATAGATCCTTCTTCCCTTGTCCTCCTCTTTCCCCCTGCAAGCTGCTTCTGTCCCCTGTAGGCTGGAGTCTTCCCCCCCCCACCATTCCTCCCCTCAAAGTCTCTCCCACTTGGCTGAACCTCTATGCTCCCCCCTTACCTTTGCTCCATGCCAGCAGGCTCCATCCCTGCTGCAGCCTAGGGCATGGAGAATGGCTCCAGTTCAACCCTGTGGCAGTGGCATGGAGCCAGCACTGCTGCTACAGGGCCAGGCTGGAGCACGTTCTCCATACTCCATTGTATGAGGATGGAGCCTGCCAGCACAGAACAAAAGTAAAGGAGTAGAGGAGGAGAGAGGTGGAGAAGCTGTGCAGGGTGGGAGACCTGTAGGCTGGGGGGGAGGAGTCACTGGGTGTGCAGAGGCAGTAGGAGCAGGCAGCAGCTGCAGCTCCAGTCCTAACCCTTGCCTTGTATCACTTCTTACTTGACTGTAAGGTGAGAGGCTTTTTCCTCCGCATGTTAAATGGGGAGGGAAAACCTTGTTTTCTCATTGAGTAAATAGTATGGCATACTGCACAAAGTCCCCACTACAACTAACAGTAAAGAGAGAAAGGTGAAATTGTACAGCTAATTAGATGAAGCTATCAAAAGAATGCCAACTGCTGTTAGCTCCCCCATTTTGGCTAGTTTCCATGATCAATAAGAGGCTAACAGAACAAATCATTGTACATTGACTGGGTGAGTGTAACCACCCAGTAACCAATGGGGAAAAAAAATGGAAAAAAACCCAGTAGAATTTGCTTGAAGATAGTCTGAAATTTAGAACCTGTCTTCAAACTTCCTCCAAAGCCCAAAATGTCCTGGCAAAACCAACCATATAAATGCATTCACTGCACCTAAAGGGGACAAAATAAGAAGTAATCTGCTTCAATTTCAACAAGGGAAGTATAGGATGGATATTAAAAAGAACTTCATAACAACTTTAAGGTGGTTAAGATCTGGAACAGATTATGTAGAGAGGCTGTGAAATCTCCATCACTGGAAGTTTTTAAGGGCTGGTTAGGCAAACATATAACTAAGACAGGTTAGACAGGGCGGATTCTTTCTGAAACAGGCAGTTGGACCTAGATGACCTCCTAAGGTCCCTTCCTTCCACTTCTGTTTTTCTGCTATTCTATAATTGGTACCTTATTTATTATTTTAGTATGTGCTACTTAGAAAAAATGGTGAACGAGGCTACTAGAGAGAAACTGTATATAGAGAAACAGACAATAGGGCTGTGCGAAGCTTTGGGTGATGATTTGATTCGGAGGAGATTTTGCCTTATTCAGTGGCTGAATCTCCGAATCCGAATTGAATCAGGGGACCAATTAAAAGTTCTGAATCAATTCAAACCTCTCTGAATCTTTCAAAATGATTTAGAGAGCTTTGGCGATTCGGACAATCCTCGATGGCTGCAGCAGGGAGCTGCAGTTGGACAAGGAGTTGGTAAGTACTAGGGATGGGGG